GGGATAAGCTAAGCCACTCTTCCCAGTGATAAGAGTGTGAACATCCTGCTTGATTTCCTGGTTGCTCTCATTAATCTCACTGAATTAATTTTGGATTTGTTTCATTCTTGTTTCCTAGTTTTTTTGAGTTGATAGTTCAGCCCCCATGCTCTTAAGTGTTTTCCTAGTGAAGGCATGAGAGGCAGTCATCATCCTCTGAAGGCTGCTTTCACCGCAGCTTGGAGGTCTGATTCATTTGCTTTCAGTGTTGTTCCTTGCTGATGAAATTTTTAAGTATAGTTTGAATATCTGTTCAAGTATTTACTTCCGGGTACAGATACTAAATTATTGGGTTATTATGTCTTAAGCATTGAAAGATTTAAATATAACCTTTTGGGTTTCCAGGTATAAAAGGCTACGGTGTTGCCATTACTCCTGAGAACAGTCTATGGTTTTGGTCCAGGCGACGTGATCGGCTTTACATTCTATGTGTAATTATTGTCTGTGCTCACATGTCATGGTACATGCATGGGAAGTGAGAGAACAACTTCTGAGAGTCAGTTCTCTCCTTGTACTCCAGACTCTTCCAGTGCTTTTACCCACAGAGCCCTCACACCAGACCTGATGTTATCTATTAAAGAAACCCTTTTTGACGGTTGGATAGATAAGAACTGGTGTCACACTCTTCCTATACATCCTCTGGTTATCTAGTGGGGCCGAGTGTCTTCATGGTTTTCATTTATGAATCACATATCTGGGCTTTTTAAGTTTTTGCATGCGGTTGGGGCGCTTTTATTTTTACGCTTGGCTCTTTGCTCCTCCTGCAGCTTAATCTTGTGCATCCGTGTGCTAGGGACCCAACTTCAACGGATACAGCACTTTCCATTTCCTTCCTGATGGTCTGTGGACTGTATTTAATGTACACTAACATTGCATCTATCCATCCGAAGTCTTCCTGCTGCTCCACTCTAACTTTGTCTCTCAGTGACCAGAACATACAGTTTGGTTTACTAAAATTTTATGAGCCTTGCATGTAAAATATTTTAAGTACATAATATATAGATACATTTTATTAATTGTATCACTAATAGGTAACATGTAAGGTAACAGACACACTGGGGATCTTTGATGTCGGCTAATTTTCGTTTATATTTTCTGGTTTTCCTCTGTTTCTTTTATATTGTTTTTGATCTTCTGTTTGTTGTTACTGTGCTTGATTTAAAATTTTTCTTAGCTGTTATTTTTTGCTTTTATTCTTTTTTGAAGAAAAAGGAATTAAGACAGGGTATCATATAACCCAGGCTGGCCTTGAACTCACTAGGTAGCCAAGGATGACCTTAAACTTTCTGTTTTGTTTTGTTTTGTTTTCAAGACAGGGTTTCTCTGTGTAATAGCCCTGGCTGTCCTGGAACTTGCTTTGAATGACCAGGCTGGCCTCAAACTCACAGAGATCCACCTGCCTCTGCCTCTTGAGTGGGACTGAAGGCCTGGGTCCCCAATGCCTCACTTACCTTGAACTTTAGATTTCTACCATGCTTGGTTTATACAGTGCTAGGAACCGAAGTCAGGGCTTTGTGCAAACTGGGTACACACTCAGTAAACTTATTTCCAGTTGAGATACTTAGAAGAATAATATTATATTGCTCATTATTCTTTACAGAATTGGAGTCTTACAGCTTTGAGTGTGTCTGTCCAGGAACATCATTAGTGTTGCTTTTGTCAACCATCTGATGTTTGCCACACCCCTTACACACACACACACACACACACACCCCATGTATTTCATTAAAAACACATGTTGTCATATTTCTTCAATTTTATTAATCTTTACTGACTCAATTAGTTTTAGATTTATTACATTCTTGTTTTTTCTAGCTTTTTGAGTTGACAGTTCAATCCTCCCTATTTTAGTATGTTTTAGTAAAGGTATAGGAAGGCAGACATTATCTTTTCTGAAGGCTGCTTTGGCCATTAGTGTCTCTTTTTTGCTGATGAAATTTTTACCTTTCATCTCAGTTTCTTTAAAGAATTGTTTAAATCCCCCTTTTAAGTTTGCAAATTTATTTTGGCTTGTGTTTATTTTTCTATGGTGGGCATTCATTGTGTTTGCAAGGTGAGGGCTGTTCCCCCGGCTGTAGCCTCTGCCCTGGCTAGCTTCTGATTTCTAACTCCTGGTCATATTTTATGCTTAGCTCATTTCTGCTTTCCTGAGACTTTTTCCTCCCAGTACCCAACACTCAGTCAGTTTGTAAGACCGTCCCATGTGTTGGGTTTGAAAATCGCTTATAATTTTTATCACTCGGACAGAAATTTCCTATGTATCTGCTGCATTGAATCAGCTCCTTTCACAGGAGTAACCTTGGCCCCTATGTTTTGACTTTCTGACTTAGATATTTGGAGAAGAAAGCATTTCTTTTTAGATCCCCTTATATTTTAGCTCAAATTTTGTTCTCTCGGATGCTGTCATTCATCTTTTATCTTGATTATCATTTAGTTAGGGTTTCTGTTTTGTTTTCCGATTGCTGTTGGCTGGGTATATCTCTTGGGTAACTGGCTAGAATGATTTAACTCAAAGAGCTATTCTGTGAGTAATCTGAACTCATTTCACAGGTCCTGTGGCTGAGAATAGAGTTGGTCTTACTATGCAGGTTTATGTTAATGAGGTTCAGTTGTTAATAAATGAAGTCCAGGGTACCTTCCCTACATGTGTAAATTTAACACATAAAGATTTTAAGTTTTCACTAGATTTGTGAGATCTGGCGGTAATTCACACTTGTTTTGGTTAAAGATCTTAGAACTGGAGAGTGAGACCCAGAGTAGCACCTGCTCCAGCCTTGCCTCTCAGGACAGCGCCTTCTGGCCATGGTGATCCACAGCTCTAGTTTCATTGGGACCTTAGATTTGTGTCTTCAGCCTCACCTCACTGAGCTGGATAGTGTTTTAATGTGTTGTGGTAGCACTGGCTTCACTGCAGAGTGATCCCCCAGAAAAACCATGCTGTCAGGAAAAGACACACATCTGTGGCAGTCGTTAGAAGTGAAATAGGGGCTGCTCTGGGCTTCTGCTCTCTCACCTCAGCTGAGAGAGAGACTGGAGAAAGCAGGAGCATGCATTGCTACGGTGGAGTCGAGGCCTCTGGATAGGGATGTGACACCCGGGTTCATCAAACATCTCTGGAAATCTCTTTCAGTTACAAACAAGCTAAAGTTTCTTCCATCTGAAAAGACTTCCAGTGTGAGTCTGGAAAAGCCTTTCTGGAAACTCCAGAAGAGCTTCCCTGACTCTGCACATGAAAGATTTCTCCTGAAATTTAGTCACCACAAGTATCGTATCCCTTATCCAAAACGCTCAGACCAGAAACAATTTAAAATGTAGGCTTCGTTCAAGAACCGTTAATATTTGCACGTATCCACTGTTGACCATGAGATCCAAATCTAAACATAGAATTCATTTCATACACTATGGTATATGTAGCCTGAAGGAAGTTTTCTACAGTCTCTTTAGTAATTTTGTACATAAAATGGCATTGCCTAGTATGGCATGTATGACTTGGGGCGTGATGTTGGTTTAAAAGTTTACATATTTTGGAGCATTTCACGAAAGGGGTGCTCAAGTGTAAATAATCCAGATCCCGTAGCTTCGAATCTTATGCTAAGCATTGATGCAAGCTTCTTTTGGTGACAGGATTCCTCTGTGTAGCCCAGGCTGGTCACGAACTCACCTTCATCCTCCTGTAGTGCTGGAAGTATGGCTGTCTGCCACCAGCAGGTGATGTGTGCCCTTTTAAGCTATTGCACACCAACTGGTTACTTCTTGAGAAGTTAAAAATCCTCGCCTTCGGTTCTCTTCTTTGGCGAGAATAGGGTGGTCGTGGTAGAGCCCACCTGGTGGACACCGTACGTGTGCCCCTGTCACACTGAGCTCAGCACAGCTTGCTTCCCCCTGCAGGCCATCGGAAGTCAGATTAACTTGCAGTAGACATTGCACTGGGGACACTTCTCCCCCTTTGCCTGAATTTTGGCTGGAAGTTTAGGGATTTGCTGAAAGCGGTGGGGGTTGACGACAGGGAGAACATGGAAGCCGCAATCCTATCTGGTGATTTGACGGAACACAGACGGCTCTGTGCTGAGGCCAAAGGGTATGGTCAAGATGGACCAAGAAAAAGATGGACTTGGCGGAAAACATACCATGCACTTTATTTTTAGCACTTCCTTCCTGCTTTATACGAGTGCCCCTGGCTCTCACAGACCATCCCTGGGATCTCTCTGGGGAATGCTAGCTACTGACTATTGGTTATGAACTATAATTTTTGGAATATAGTAGAGGGCTTCCAAGAAGCCCTTCAGAGACTTACAGGGCAGTTATCTTTGAATATTGGGAAACAATGGATATGGCTCAGATCCTCTAGTACATATACACACAGATGCTAATAAGAATCAAAAATGCCTTCAGTGTGCAAGCTACCTAACAACTGAGTGCCCTGCACACTGCAGTATGGATCTTTTCTGCTCATGACTGCGGCTGGCTAGCTGGCTGGAAGCCGCCTCTCACTGCCACTCACTGCTTCTGTCCCCATTGTGACCGAGAACTATGCTATACACAGCCAGCCAGCCCAGGAAAAGCTCCAGATTCTAAGCGTGAACTATTGTTTTCACTAGCTATATACTACTTTTTTTGTTGGTGTAAAGTCAAAAATTACAACTCAGACTATACAAGCCACGAATCGTGTGCTAGCTTAAGCAGCACGTCTGGAAGAATCCCTGGAAGGCAGTTCAGTGTACTTCAAATTGTGCGCAACTTTTAGTGACACATGCTTCTCCTCCAGCCCTTCCCAGAGCTGTTCATGGTTTGGCAAGAAAAGGTGACTTGACAATTCTCTTCTTAAAGTGCAGGAGTGAGCTGCTCCCACCAGGTTGGCAGCTCAAGCAGACAACCAGGCTCCCTCAGCCCCACGTACCCCTTGCATGGCAGGTCCTCCTTGGCCTTTCCCAACTTTTCTAACCAAGCGTTCCTTCCTCCAGAATGGCTGCAGTCTGTCCAGGCCACCATGGTCCTGTCTGTCATCTTCAGCGTCCTGTCTCTGTTCCTCTTCTTCTGCCAACTCTTCACTCTCACCAAAGGAGGCCGCTTTTATATCACCGGATTCTTCCAGATCCTCGCTGGTAAGTTGTGTTCTTGTGGAATATGGGCCTTGAAGGACTTGGTGCCTGAGTGATGGGTATTCATGAATCGGACTATTGGATGTTTATCCTGAAGCTTTTCCTCTCTGTGTCTCTCCCTGTGTGTGTATGTGTCTTTCTGTTTCTCTCTCTCTCCCTAACCCCATCACGAGTGTATGTGTGTTTGTGTATGTGTGTGCATGCAAATGTATTTGCATGTATATTTGAACTTGGGGACATTCCACTGCTCTGTGGAATGAGACACATATGTTAGAGTCTTGTGGACTCAAGAGGAAAAGCCTCCAGTGTGCCAGATCTATCACCAGGATTGAAGTTACAATGTGTGCACATCATTAGAGATAAATGCTGAGGCAACCCACAGAGCCAAGGATAGCCTAGAGGACTGTTTCCTTTGTTTTTTGTAATACCCAAGAAACTATCTTGGCTTTAGAACATGGGCCTGTTCAGAGTGCTGGCAAGGGTGTTCTCAGGAAAGTGTCTTTTACCTATAAGTGGAGATGGTCACCCTGACAAACTCCTGTGGACTTTGACTTCCTGCTGTATTCTCTGTTGCCTTCACCAGCATTCCATGCTCTTGCTTCCAATTATGAGACTGTGGTAAAACACATGCAAATACAGGAGGAACTTTACCTTCTCCCTGTGGTCTCTTCAGTTAGCCGTTCCCAAGTATGGAATGTAGGATTCTGGATACCTTTCAGCTTTGTCTCTAGATTCCGGTCAGTGTCTTGCTTCATTGACCCCTACCTTTCTGTCTGGTGTTTGTCAAATGACGGAGACTGCAGAGTACTTGAGAGAAGTGAGAGGCAGAGAGTATGTCTGGGTACACACTCCCATTCTAGCCAAAGGTGCAGCACTGTTTGACTGTGAAGGTGTCAGTGGGCCATATCACCACCCATGAACAGAAGCAGCCCTCTGGGAATTGGAAACAGCCCACAAGTCCTTGGTGGATGGTTGGACAGAGAGACATGGCCTGAGGCTGGCTGTTGATAGCTTTTCCAGAAGATCTGCTAGTGTCTCTGCCTCCTGAGTGCTGGGTTTAAAGGCATAGCCACACATACCTAGCCCTGCCTCTGACTTTCGCTGGGTGTTAAATTCACATTCACACCCTTTGTTATGCATAAGCTGTGAAGGTCTGCTATGCTTGGCAGCAGCTGCAGAACTACTCAGCTGAACACTGCTGGGCTGGGCAGAGCTGAGTTATATACATGGTAGCGTTTTCACCTGCTGCTTTCAATTATCCAGGGTTCTTTTTATACAACACCGTTTTAGTGAAAATTCACAAAGTCTGGATACTACATTTGATCTTAGACAAAAGGCCAAGGGAAAGAGCTGTGAGGTCTGGAGATAAGGACACATGTGACCCAGACAGCCTCTGGGTTAAGGCCCTTCCATTCACGCAGACGTTCTTAGAGCTTCCGTAACTGTTCAGAGTCTGTTTATGGGGGCGCTTTACAACTTTGCTTCAGCTCTGAGCACTCCCTCAGACACCTCTGGCTTTAAAAGCGCACAATTTGTTTTTCCTGAGGCTCTTTGAATCTTGCTGCTCACCACTCATGGGACTTGTTTTCAGTCATGAGTCGTCAGCTGAGCGGCCCTTACTTAAACACGTTATCTGGACTTAGAAATGCCAAAGTAAAACAGTGGCTGTGATTCCCTAAGAACATTCTGTGCTTAGTTGTTAGTTCTCCTCAAGAAGGTCTGAAGGGAGGTCTCCCAGGAATCTCGGGCCTGCAGGTGTTCATTTGAAATTGCTGGGAGCTCTTTCTGCTCGTGTTGACGACCAAGAACTGGGCCTTGACCTATAGACTCCGGGTTCTTTCGTAGCGTAACGGTTGTTAGCCAGCCTTGTGAGCTTTCCCCTGGGTGGTGTTTAGGAAGAAGGTAGGAGCTGGGGAGAAGATGAGGGTTGGAGGTGGCTGCAGGTGAAAATTAGTGCATACCTGGGAATTAACAGTCTATAACGTCAGGGAGGAAGTCAGAAAAACCAAAGCAACTGGGGAAGGAAAGAGAGGGAGGAGGTGGACAGGGAGACAGATGGAAGAAAGACGGAGAAAGTAGCCTTGTGGTGAGGGCATGTGAAACCTGAGTGTGGTTTTCACAGTGGGCAGCTACATTCCATGAAGGGCAGGTCCTCAGAGCACTGAGGCACATTAAGTAGAAACCAATAGAGAATCGATTGAGTTTCGTAAGATACTGTTACGGGTTGCAGTATAATTCCTGCTTCCTTTTTTTTTTATAAATGCACACATGTGCATGCCTGGTGCTGAGGAGGTCAGGAAAGGGTCTCTGATCCTCTGAAACTGGAGTTACAGGTGGTTGGGAGCCACAGTGTCTGTGCTGGGAATTGAACCTAGATCCTCTGCAAGAGCAGCAAGTGTTCTAAGCTGAAGAGCCATCTCTCCAGTCCCTAGAGCTTCCCTTTGAAGGACATGAAGGTCTGTATGGCTCAGACCTGTGAGCTGGAGCTTAGGAGAGACAGGAGACCTCTGAGTGGGCTCTCCTGCTTCCTGTATCTTCCGAATAGTCACAGCAGCTCTTCTGGCTTTGCCGCATCGTTACCAAAGTCTCCTAGTGAACTACATCCCTTGATCACATACTTCTTTGGCTTGGCAGTTTGCAAGAGGAATAATAAAAGCCCAACCTCAGCTTTTCACTCGGGGCGAGATGGCCTTACCCTGCATAGCCTTGGGGAGTATCTCTGAGTGGGCTCTTCCCTGATGACTTGATGAGCACCCATTAAAATGCCCTGATCTTGCTGTGAGGCCTTCCAGGACCTTTTCACTAGTAGCAGACCCCACTCACAAGCTGTAGATTCTTCTAAACCCCTTGGAGGAAAATGTCCCAATCCTGCTTCTAGACTTGTGAGTCATTTCTGTTTCCTGGGTGCCACTGTTCCTACACATTTTTATCCTTATGTTTGCTGTGTTGGGTCAGGATTCCAAGGTGGGAGAACATCAACAAAACCACACAGACACCAAGTTAGAAGTAGAGAGCTGTGTGTTTTAATGTGCAATAGCTAACCAGCTCTGGGCAAGCACCCAGAAGACCCTCAGCCCTGACTGGTGCCTCGATAAATGTGTCCCTGTGACATAATCCAACTCAGCTCAGATATGTAAGTATCTCACCAGAGTTGGGAGTCATAACTTGTGTCCCAAGTCAGCTCCAGCCACCTCTCCTCCACAAGCTACTAAAAAAAGGGCCACATTAACAGTGAAGAGCAGATAAAGGAGATTTATGCGGTGTGGGCCACTTTGGGAAGAGGGGCAAAGAGAGCCAGGGCTCGTTTCCTCCAAGTCTGTCTTCAGGGCCCTGAAAGAACATCAAAGTCTAAATAGAGGGCCCTGGATGTGCACATCTAAGCAGCCCCAGTCAAAGTGTGGCCACACCCACCACTGAGCCATCATTATCTGGGCATCAGACTTACCTTGTAAAATGTTCTGACAAGTCTATAGAACCCTGTGAAATCTCTTCCAGGGAGACAAGTTTGCCACTGCTGGTGCCTTTTCCTTCTCCCAGCATGAGCTTTCTAGGGGAATCTGCATTTCTTTGGGGTCCATTGTTTCAACAGTATAACCATCAGATTGAAAGACTCAAGTGTCTCTTTAGAATATCTTCATTTTTGCCAGGATGGTCCCAGCTATTGAGGTCAAGGGGGATAGAAAGAATAGAAGCAGTGGACTCCTGAGTGAGTCTCAGTTTTTCTATTTGTTTCATTTCTTTTGTTGTGTATGAAATATGATAGAACGCACACACACACACACACACACACACACACACACACACGCACAGAAGGGAGGGAGAGAGAAAGAATTAACACAGAACAAAATAATTAATGGGGAGGTTAGTGTGCTCGCTATGGACCTGTTTGTTTTTGAGTGATTCAAAGGTAGCATAAACCAGACACCAAATTTAAAAACCCTTCTCAGTGAATCACAACAGAGTTTTCACCAGCCGTGCCCAGACAGGAGCCCAAGAACGGCATGAGCTGTTCTCTGGACAGTAATGGTCATTTAGAAGCAGAGTCTACCCTGCTGGGTAGTAGCAGCTCTTCTAGCATCTTGTGGCTCTAAGGGTGTTGGTGGAAAGCAGATGAGTAGGGCTGAGCCTTCCACTATCAACTATTCTGGATGGGGCTTCCGGGGTCCACTTCCTAGCTAGCTTCCTGTGGCTTCTGCCCCTGCCCCTGCAGTGCAAATGCTCAGCACAGGCCTCCCAGGTCTTAGAGAGTCTTTCATTGGTTGCATGTCTGCTTTCTGGACTGTTGATAACTAAGGCCTGCTACTAAGGTCTGACTTAGGCCTGCTACTAAGCTGTCTCTGCTCAGCTGCTGAGACGTCAGGTTCCATCTGCATGTGCGACCAACGGCCCCATTCAGCCCTCCATCCTCCTCCTCCCACGTCTAGTCCATCGCCTGGTCTGCCGTGGTGTGCTGTCCTCTGTGGATACTGTGCCAGTTCTTTTCTCTGTACTCACTGACGCCGTTGCACCAGGGCACAAACCGACCCCTGCACCTTCTCACCTCCTGCCTCATGCCCACTGCAAATCCCATCTCTCTCTCTTCTGCCTTTTTGGGCTTTACACTACATTTTATTATTATTTTATTGTATGTGTGTGGGTCTTTTGACTGCGTGTATATCTGTGCCCCACCCGCATGCCATGAAGAAGACCTCCGATGCCCTCTGGAACTGGAGTTAAAGATGATTGGGAACAATCGTGTGGGCGCTGGGAACTGAACCCAGATCTTTGGAAAGCGCAATTGCTCTTAACCACCGAGTCATCTCTCCTGCCTTTGTGTTTATTTTTGAGACATGACGTAGCTCAGGCTGACCCCTGAGCCCCTTGAGGGCTGGGATTATAGGTGGCACCTCCAGTGCTATCCCATCTGGCCTGGGAGGAGCTTCCCAGGTCCTGAGTCTGCTCACGTCCCTGCAGTGCTGGGACCCACCAGGTTTCCTTCCCTTCACTGCCCCTTGCCTTGCCACCCTGGCCCTGGATGAGGTCCAGCCTCCTGTCCTGTGAGACCGCTGCCACCACCTGCTGGTAGTTTTCAATGCTTTCTTCCAGTCTCAGCCTTGACTGGGCTCCTCTTCCTGGAGTTTCCACCCTGCTTGTCTTCACCTGGCCTGAAGACCTGAGACCTGGCTGAACTAATTCTCCCCTCAAAGCTTCTGTTCTGCTATGTGGTGTTCAGGGCGTTGGGGACATTCTTCCTTTGTAGACTTCTTAGTATCAAAAGGCGTGTCTCTTTCTCTGGGCCTAGGGAGTGTGTGCAGGGGGTTGCTGCAGAAGCAGTCACGTGAGGCAGGTACAAAGTGCTGTGACTTCCATGCTTGGTGCCATTATGTTGGTTTTTGTGTTTCACTGGACCTGCGGATAGACTTGGCACTCTCCCAGGGGGTCTTGCTGACCAATAGGTACCTGAATGACACATCTCCACCAGTTGGGTAATGAATCACTCTTGGTCAGGGGTGGAAACCGATGTTTGTCTTTACCAGGAATGAAGACATAGCTGATTCACACGGCCGCCGAGGCATTGTTCAAGCCCGTGGCCAGGAGATGCCTCACGCAGAATCCCTGTCCAAATGATAATAGTCATGCTTCCTTTTCTGGCTCTGTCATACCTTCCCCTCTGCTGTGGTATGCTTCACTCCTTATGGCCCTGCCCTCGTTAGCTAGGCCACCGGAAGCCCAACACAATGCCAGTCTTCCTCCTTCTCTTAACTCTCTTTGTCCTTCTCTCCTTTCTTGTTTGCTTCCTGTCTCGGTTTTCTTATGTTTTGAGACAGAGTCCCACAGGGTAGCCCAGGCTGGCTTTCAACTCAAAGTCCCCCAGCCTCAGCCTCGCAAAGTGCTGAGACTCACAGGCCTGGGTCACAAATGTCTACTTTGTATTTTCCCTTCGTTTTGTGCTTGTGGAGCTAGGGATGGGCCTTGTACATGCTAAGCAGGCAGGCCATACTCATTCAGACCCAAATCCCTGCTAGTTCTTAGCAAGAAGGGGCATCCAGGGAGCAATAGGACAAGATAACCAAGGACCTGGATCAAGGCTGATCAAATATATCCCAGGACCGCTGCTGTCCTTCAGCAGGACTAGGGCTTCCCATGACACAGTCAGCTTTGCTGTCTCTGTGCTTTCTGTAGGTAGAGGCAGGTCCTAGGTCCCATCCCACGGCGGTCCCAAGACTATTGTGTGGCTTTTCCAATGGAGGCAAGCTGAGTGGGCATATTCTCCTCTGAGTTGCCAAAGGACAATCTGATCGGGGTGGATTATGTGACATCATCCCCCCTCTGTTTATTCAAACAAAGTTGAACTGTCCAGCATGTCAGCAGCCAAATAGCAGCGAGGTTAGCTGTAGGTGGCCCGGGAGCTGGAGCCCTGGAACCGCACAAATCCCACACAGCCCGCTGCCTTTATAATAGAGTCTCAGAGCTTTGTTCTCCGTGGGAAACAGATACGGCTTTGTCCAGCTCCAGGCTGGGTGCCGATGCCATCCAACTCCTCTCTGAGGAGGGACGTGGCTGTCACATGGTCACAGGTGGTCAGACTTGAGCATGGTAGCTGCACCAAAGAGTTGGGGTGCCCTGACCAACCTTTGTGACTGATGTTCTTTCATGGGCTTTGAGTGTCAGGCCTGGCCTTTGGGGGTCACCAAGTAGAACGGGGCTGCTCTTTATCCATCCCCTTTCACTGCAGCTTTGATTCTCACCCTCGTGGTCCCCTTATTTCCTCCTTGCCTCCCTTTGCCTTTACCAATAGGCACTGCTCACTTACATTCATGGGACAGCATGACTAAAGGAACCAGGCCCCCTGTGCTCAGCAGAGAGTCTAGCCTCCGCTGTTATTCCTCAGTGCCACCCAGGCTGCAGGATCGATTCACTTCCACCGGTTTCTGGTCATGTAAGGCACTGACCTTCTGCAGAGTGGTTCACAGCTTCAGCAGCATGTCCACACCCAGCCACTTCTGAGAAGAGCTAGAAGGCTCATCATCTTGCAGCCTGAGCCCTTGCTGCCCATCTGGAGATGCCCGGGGAAGGGTGACAGTGAAAGAAAAGGAAGTAAGGCAGAAAATGTGCTGTGGGCCCTCAGTGTGTGTGTGTGTGTGTGTGTGTGTGTGTGTGTCACATGGCCACTTCTCAGCTCTTCCTTTTCCTTTCACTTGTTCTCCACCCGTCTCCTCCTGCTTCTGATCCGGGAGGCCCAGCCAGGGTAGGAATGCTCTCCCTGCCCAGCATCGTGGATGTTCAGGGGGCAGAGAGCCACAGCCTGGCACTGACCGCCTGCTTACCTGCTGTCTCTCTCCTCTCAGGTCTGTGCGTGATGAGTGCGGCGGCCATCTACACGGTGCGGCACAGTGAGTGGCATGCCAACAATGACTACTCCTACGGCTTCGCCTACATCCTGGCCTGGGTGGCCTTTCCCCTGGCCCTCCTCAGTGGCATTATCTACGTGATCCTCCGGAAACGCGAATGAGGCGCCCGACGCACCATCGTCCGTCTCGGCTCTGAGCGCGCATAGGGTGCACAGGGAGGGAGGAAGGAAACCAGAAAAACAAACCCGACAAACCAAAAAGAGCTAGCCCCAAATCCAAACTCAAGCCAAACCAAACAGAACGCAGTTGAGTAGGGATTGCTGTGGATTGAAGATGTATATAATATCTATGGTTTATAAAACCTATTTATAACACTTTTTACATATGTGTACATAGGACTGTTTGCTTTTTATGTTGAACGTCAGCCTCGTGTTGAATCTTAAAGAACTCTACATCCTAACACTATAACTAAGCTCAGTATCTTTGTTTTGTTTCTCATCTTTTGTTTCGCTCAGACGTTAAAATTCCACGTGGCCCCTTTCATCTGAAAGCTCATACCTCCCTCCCACTCAACCTCATAGGATAACCAAAGTGTGGGGGACCAACCCCAAATGGCCAAAGGCCTTCACACTGTGGGTAACCTGGTACATTAAGCAGGAAACACCCCACTGCCCAAATCACTGTGTGGAGCCCTAAGCACTCACAGATGAAGAAACGCCCTGACCGGAGCCCTCTGAAAAACAATGGCTGGCGGCTCCTTGAAGCCTTGTCCCTGTAGGCACAGGCCAAGGGGCGCACACTTAAATGAGACGTCAGAGACAAGGAGTCTGTGAAATGGTGCTATAGATTTACCATTCCTTATTATTACTAATCATTTAAACCACTCACTGGAAACTCAATTAACAGTTTTATGACATACAGTAGAATGGAGACCTGAGTAATTGTGTGTGATAGAAATGGTTCATAACCGCATTTGTGCCTAGCTAGGCTGTTGTTATTACCACAGTAAATAAATCTCAACGCCTCCGTCACTCCCACAGTTTTCTCGCGGTCGGAGCAGCAGAACAAGTGTCTAGACCCTTGGGACTGCGAGATCCCTGGCTTTCTGGGTCTAGACTGTTCTGTGCCTCCACGGACTGTCTGGCGATGACTTGTGCTGGCCACCAACTGTACATGTATATACGGTGTCCTTCTGATGCTAAGACTCCAGACCTTTTTTTTTTTTTTTCTTTTCTTTTGCTTGCTTTTTCTGATTTTATACCAACTGTGTGGACTAAGATGCATTAAAATAAACATCAGAGTAACTCACTCGTCTCTCCCGGGTTTTTGTTGGTGATGGGTTATGTGTTTGAGGTGCAAGTGAGGGTGAGCGTCGGAGTTTCAGAGGAGAGCGGGGTGCAGTTGGTGGTTTGGGCTGTGTGGTGCTTCAGGAGTGAGGTCGTAGCTGTCCCTCAGGTGGAGGAGGGAGCCTCTGATTCACATGGTGACTCTACAGTGGCTCCCAGGGGTACAGAGCTGCGGGGGGAGGGGCAGGCTGTAAGCCACCTGGAGGGCACTTACTTCCGTGTTCAGATACTAGCGCTCTCTGGTGGCATGCACGGGGAACACGGGGGCATGCCAGGAGCTGTGCTCATATGCAGAGGAGACGGGCATGAGCAGCATGGGCTTCTGAGTCATTCTCTGAATGGTGTTTTGAATGGTAAGGGTGGTAAAGCAGGACTGGCTGAGCTTCTGCCCCCCATGGAGAAGGCAAAGGTCATGAGCATTACTTAGCTCCAGGCTTCTGTTATTCCCTAGCCTTCTGCAATGGTGGCACAGTATGTCAGGCTGTGTAGTCATCCACACTTATTGATCCATTATCCTGAGCTGCACCAAAGGCTGAGAAAGATTGAGAAAATTCTTAGTGAGTGAGGCAAACCAGAGTGGTGGCGTTAGGAGCATAGAGGAGTGCTTGGAAGAGTGTGGAAGGAGATCCTGATTGCTTATCTGGGTCTTGTCTCCACCTGCACATAACTGACCTCCCTCCCACCGCCCCCACACCGGAATTCCTGTGCCCAGGAAGGTGGTATCACCTCACAATAAAAAGGCAGGAAAGGGAACAGTTGCATCCAGAGGGGACCAAATGTATGAGGGGGCCTGACTTTATGACAACGTGCTGTCGTGAGGGCTGGTCACTGTTGAAGACCAGCATCAGGCCCTCGGGAGGGTGATGTCAGTCTCATCAGACCTCGGTGTGCTCCTGAGCCACTTGGTAGCCCTGATGTTGCGGGCTCAGATCCACATATGTGTGGTGCCTGTGATCCTGCATTTCCAGCTAGTGCCTGGGTGAGGCTGGTGTAGAAAGCAGTTTTTGAGTAGCAGGAGCCTATAGGGCAGCCACCTGTAGCCACGTGACACTTCTGCCTGCACAGCTGGGGCAGGGTTGTGAGTCCCATCTGAGGCTCCACAGTGACCTGTATCCATGCTTCTGACACACAGGCTTTGGCCACATTTCCACAGCCAGCCATGGCATGCGGGTGAGAGCGACTGAGAAAACCAGGACTTTGGCTTCATGGCTTGTAGTCTGAAAAAACTCTCATTCTATAAAATTTGTCTTTGAAGACAACTTAAATTAAACATTAAAATGTTTTGCTTAAATTGGTGTAGATAATGCACAAAGAAAAACACCAAGAATGGCCTCCAGCTCTCCTCACTTGAGTAATTCCATTGACTAATATACATGTCTATTATGTGATACATATAAATCTAGGATTATAGCATCCATATCTTGACGGAATAAAAAAATTGAAAACCTTTTTCTCACCTCATACTCTCTTGACACAAGTAGCCACAAAACCAATAACAGGAGGATTCTAAAATTAATAGTTGCTTATAATTTATTCCAGAAAAAATGTTCAACATATGTTGGACACGGATGACTATAAAGTGGACACTGAGAGGCCAGACCGCACACACCGTTCTGTGTCTTATTTTCTGATAAAACTGGAGCTCATTTTATGTCAGAACTCACTCCGTTATTTCAATGAGCCCTGTTTTAGTCTTTGACTACATAGCGGCATAAACCGTTATTTACTGCCCCCTGTTGGTGGGAACTGAGCCTGTGTCCTATTTTTTATTATACCTAAAATGTTTCAGTGCTTATTCTCTTTCATGGATACTGGTGAGTTTTTGAAGTTTGCTCTTATATTAAATTCCTGGCACAGAGGATGACAAGACAGAGAATAGTTGTGTTTTTCAAAACTTAGTTGACATTATCAGTTTCATCTCCAGAAACGCTATCCCAACTGTGCTTGGGAGCCAAGCACTACTTTCTGCTCTTGGCTCTGGGGTTTCAACAAGAAGAGGAAGGCTACAAAAAAATGTGCTAGAAATGGCTTCTCTGTCACCCGTTACCTTGGAAGGTCTGTCTGGCTCTCCCATCCTGGTGCAGTCTCACTATGATCTGATGTATGGCAGACAGGGAGTCTGTCTCACCCAGGGACTGGACACACCCAGCCATTTGGTGTCTAGCCATTATGTATCACGTGGTTTGTCGTAGTCCATTTTCTGTCGCTGGAACGGGTACCCCAGCCTAGGTACTTCATAAAGAAGAGAGATTCATTTACTTTGAACTGTAAAAATGGGTGATCCTATTTGTCCTGACCCTGGTCAGGCTGCACCACCTCATGGGGGAGAGGCAGACGGCTTTGGAAGGGGAGTGAGTATGGAGTATGGTCTTTCTTTATGGCAACCTGCTCTCTCCTGCTGACTCATCAATCACGGCCAGCATTTAATTTGTTGACACAGTGATATCGCTAGAGACACAGGCACCATCCACCAGGCTCTACCATATAAGGTTCTGCCGCACTGAACATTGACATTCTGGGCCTATGAACCTTTGGGAGAAACACTCAGACCGATGGACATCCTTACCATCTGCTCAGCGATCACCCTGAGCACAGTCTGGCTCCGATCTCACACAGCTGCTCTTTCTTCACCTTCAGCATCACATTTGGAAAGAGCAGACACGGGCCTCCTGTCCACAGGGCAAGGAACCTCACCAACTCACTCCTCAGCCAAACCAGAAAAATAGTGCCCTGCAGATGGTAGTGAGCAGAGAGCAAGGCAGGTTAGGTAGGCACACTTAGGGAATTTTGGTGACAAGTTGAGTCTGCTGTTCAAGCTTGCTCTCTCACACCCCCCTTATCCCAGTTCCCTGAGGCTGAAACAGCACAGAACTTCAAGAACCAAACACAGCTCTGCCTCCCCACTGTCCAGCCAAAGAGCTTTCTTCCCTGGGGAGCTGGTCCTTGGCCTTTCCCATGCCACCCTCCTACCCACTCCTGAAATGCAATGTGGTATGGGGCTTCTTTTCCTCACACAGACTCACTTTTGAGGTAGAGGCACCAGAGTTATGCTTACTGGGTCTTGCTCATTCTTGTCCTGTTTTGACCAGGAAGACAGGGCCTCTTGCCCTTCACAATGCTCAGATCCTTGAAGGAATGAGACTCTGACTGAGAGTATGGGTTCACACTTTGGTGAGAGAAAAGCTGAACTGAGCATGACCGAGGCGTGAACGTAGGGAATGATGGGCTCCCTGCAGCAAATAGGGATATCTTGGTTGCTGTTTCCAAAGCAGCACTTCCCTCAAGTAACGAAGAACTGATGTTTTATTCTGGGAGTCTATTCATACCCAAACCACTCTGGTGGTGGGTGAATTTCTGAGCATGCTCAGTTGAAGAGGACATTGTAGCTCTCAGGTTAATGGTGCTAAGCGAGAAGTAGAACATGATTTTGTTTTATCTTGTCATGTTTGGCTCAAGGTCATAGCACGCTGTTTAAGAGACTGCAATGGTGGACAGGAATGCCTCTGAATATCCTCAGTGCCATTCATGAGGGTTTAGCTGAAGTAAGTGGGAAGCTGCATTGAAGACATTAATACAGGAGTTTGTCCTTCAAGGCACCTGACTCGGCAAAGATGAGGAGCCATCTGAGGGAAGCTTGCTGCTGCTCCTACTCCAAATGCCAGAGCCTTGGCTCCAGGAGTGCCGGGGTGAATTAAAAAATGGGCCACAGAGCAAACAGCTCTTATTCTCTCCCCAAGGAACTGGTCGTGTTTGCTCCAGAGTGAAGAAATTGAAGACCAAGGGCACTATCAAGGGAAATGAAGGTTATGGCGAAGACATTTGGGAAGACTCCAAGATGCAAACTAGAGCGCAGGCACACTGCTTTCTGAGCGAGAGCCAGGCACACGTACAAAAAGGAGGCTATGGGTGTGAACCGAGCCATGGAAACTGTTCTTTCAAAGGAGTCAGAATCTGGGGGAGTTCTTTGGAAACAGTAGAGGGCTCATTTGGTACTGAGGAGAGTTTAACAAATGGGTGTGGTAAGGGACAGAAGAGAGCCCTCCTGAACCACTGTCAACATGAGTACCTGTGGACACACCCAAGCTGTGCCTCTGAAAGAAAGTTGGAGGTGGAACACTGTGTCGTTCACCTCCTGTCACTGAAAAAATGGCTTGTTTGGGTCTGGTTTCAGAGGTTCGTGTTCACAGCTGGATGGATTTGTTCTGACTAGGCCAGACTTGTGCCGAGACAGAAGACCTGGGCAGCACAGCCTGTGCAAGAGTGCTACAGGTGTGGGCTTGTGTCTGGAGCACCTGCTAGAGTATCCAGGTCCGTTTGATTGTCAGAAAAGAACTGGACCATCGACCCATGGTTACAAGGAGGACTAAAGACAGTCAATTAAGAAAGGGAGAACTTTCCTGAGAGCTGAGGAAAAAGCCCAAAAGTTCTGGGCTACAAGCCACACGCTCCTGTGTAGAATCCCTCCACAGCCCAGGCCTCACCCGTGTTTGTATACCATGGGCCTTCATGCTCCGCTTGTTGTGTAAAACAGAGGTGAGGAAGGGCTTCCAATCTGCCAACTGGCTTCTTTTCTACGTTAATCTTGATAAAGATTCCTTCCCGCGCCCACCTTCTTGCCACAGAAAGCAAAGAAGAAATAAGAGACAAGATAGATTTTTTTTTTAAGGCAGAGCATCAGACCCCCTTCCTGAAATCAGGCCCCACTTTCTAATAGTCCAGTTAGCTATGGACCCATTTGTGTGTTAATCCATTGATGAACATTAGCATCTGTATGGTCCAATCGCCCACCAATAGCACCACCAGCTGGGAACTGAGGCTTCAACACATGAGGCTTGAGGACTGGGGAATGGTGACACTTTATTTCCAAACTACAGTAGATAAGGAACAGACTCACCAAAGTAATCCAGCCAGACACACACACACACACACACACACACACACACACACACACACACACA